TTCGATAATTGCTTTCGAATGCATACACCATATTCAGTCACTGAAGGAAAATGATCCTGCTCTTTGTGCCTACAAGCTCGACTTGTCTAAAGCGTATGATCGAGTTGATTGGGTATTTTTAGAGAGGGCCTTGCACAAACGGGGGTTCTCACAAGCATGCATGGATCTCTCGTGTTATGGCTTGTGTATCCTTGGTGAAATATTCTGTGAAGTTCAATGGCAAGATCTTAGAGTCTTTCACCCCGTTGAGAGGGCTACGACAAGGTGACCCTTTATCCCCCTTTTTATTCCTCTTCATTGCCGATGCTCTGTCTGCACTCTTAAATAAAGCGATGACTGAGGATGGTCTTAAAGGGGTGAAAATTTGTAGAAGGGCCCCGAAGATTTCACATCTCCTATTTGCAGATGATTCACTCTTGTTTTTCGAAGCCTCAGTACAGCAGGCACACCTGGTGAACGGTTTGTTGAACATCTATGCGTTGGCCACCGGCCAGTTAATTAATCTAGCAAAGTGTTCCATCCTTTTTTCAGACTCATGCTTGCCTGCGGTGGTGGATGAGGTGAAGAGAATTTTGGAGATTGAACAGGATATTTTTGAGCCTAAGTACCTTGGCCTGCTGGTGCCCGAAGGTAGAATGAATAAAGGAAATTTTGAAACGGTTCAAGATAGATTAAGGAAGAGGTTGATTGACTAAAGCGAGCAGTATATGTCATCTGGTAATAAAGAGATATTGTTAAAATATGTTGCACGGGCAATTCCAGCTTATGTCATGAGTGTATTTAAGCTCCCGGCTTCAGTGTGTGATGAATTGACCCGGCTGATACGTCAGTACTGGTGGGGTCTGGAGGAAGGAAAGAACAAGATGGCGTGGCTCAATTGGGATAAAATGAGGTTACCTAAGGCAATGGGTGGCTTGGGGTTCACAGATATGAGATCGTTTAATCAGGCGCTTCTCGCTAAGCAGGCTTGGCGTCTTATTGACACTCCGGACAGCCTTTGTGCCAGATTGTTGAAGGCCAAGTACTATCCCTCAGGCAACCTGGATCAGCGGTCTGGAAAGGTATCCTCCATGGCCTCGAGTTGTTAAAAGCAGGAATTATATGGCGAGTTGGAAATGGTTCAAATATAAGAACCTGGAGGGATCCATGGATCCCGAGGGCATCGTCTTTCCGGCCTATAACACCAAAGCGCACGTCCCGTCTAAACCGAGTCTCCGATTTCCTAGATGGGAATGGTGCATGGTGGATGGATAGGCTGTCACAACACTTTTGGCAGATGGACATTGATCACATTTTGAAAATAAGAACGTCCCCAAGGCAGCGTTGTGATTTTATCTCCTGGTTCCTGGAGAAGAATGGGCTGTTTTCAGTAAAAAGTGCCTATAAATTGGCTACAAGTGCTCATGATGCAGCCTTCGCAGGAGGATCATCTTGAGAAGCACCAAATGGCAGGAGATCAATTTGGAACTGTGTGTGGAAAGCATCGGTGCCACAGAAGATGAAGATAACGGTTTGGAAGGTGGTGGCCGAGGCATTGCCGACTGCGGCATGCAAAAAGTACAGACATGTATCTAAGCGTTCTACTTGCCCGCTATGTGGGGTTGAGGAGGAGAATGAATTCCATGCTTTAATCACATGTGATCATGTGCGTACTCTGTGGACAAACATGCGCGCTAGATGGCCTCTCCCGTCGGATGGACTGCTGATCAATACCGGCAAGGAGTGGCTTCTGAATCTGCTCACTCAATGCTCTGATTAGGTTTGAGATATGGTAATCATGCTGCTATGGCGTATATGGCAGCTGCGGAACGATTGCTCACATGGCAAGGATGTACCATCGGTGGGGGCAACAGTGCAGTATCTGGACAGTTACTACAAGTCCATTCGGCTCGCTAGTTGCTTTACCACGGAAGAAATACTAAAAGGAAAAATGCCGCTCTCAGAACAGAAGACGGACACTCAGTTCAAACAGCCAGCGCCACCATGGCCGACTCCTGGGCCGGGGACTGTCGCGCTATCCGTTGATGGTTCCTTCCGAGAGGCAGATGGTTCGGCAGCGACCGGAATCATATTGAGAGATGAGTCAGGTACGGTACTGTTGGCGGCGTATCGCTACATGTTTAACTGTAATGACACTTTGGAGGTGGAGATCCATGCTATCATGCAGGGTATGGCTTTGGCCATCCAACACATAGTACTTCCGGTGGTTGTGCAGTCGGACTCGACGATTGGCCTCTCAGTGTTGACTACTGATGGCCTCACCAAATCAGCATATGGGCATCTGATCCTGGAGATTAAAGAGTTGATGAAGGAAAGTAAGTTTTTACCTCAGAAATTACACCGTAGTCAGAATAATGTAGCAGATCGGTTGACAAACTATAACCGCACCGAGAGAACCACGGCTGTGTGGGTTCACTCGGCTCCACCTTGTATTGAGGATCTTTGGCCTCTCGATTGTAACACTGTGACAATGCAATAAAACTCCCTTTTACCCCCCAAAAAAAAGCCCACAGACACTGACGATGTTTCCAGGGGGCGGTAGCTACCGCTGCAGGTATCGTATCGATCCCTAGAAAGTTTGGAGAACTTGTGTGGCTAGGGGAAAGCCAGCGCCACCAAAAGGCACCGTAAACCATGCAGAAAAAGCTAAGATCTCGGACCAGTTCGAAAAATACAATGGGATGGAAAAGAAACCATAATTCGTGAGAGGCAAACAAGAAGCTCGCCGTACGGCTGCGGCCGGCCCCCACATGGCGGTCAGGGTCAAGCGATCAAATCAGACCAGTTCAACCAGGCTCTAGCAGTACCTGGGCCCGGCACCGAGGAACACGTGGCAAGTGGGTCGGGCCCGACGCGTGCCTGGTGCTTCTATTTTTATTTTTGATCTTTTTTGTTTGACAACGTGGAGTGTTAGGACGGGGGCACATTTGTCGCTCTCGACCGACCCACCGACATGTGAGCCCCGCGTACCGCCATACCGCCGCTTTGATCTCTTTATTTTGGAATCACTATAAATCTCACGTCAAATACTACATTACATATAACAATTCATAACAAGTGTTGTTTCTGCCCTCGAGTCCAGAGCACGCACCTTGGCACAAGGAGGCCAGTGCCACGTCGATTCTAAGCTTAGAGGTGAAATTATGTTGGGCCACGTCGAGTCCAGAGCACGCACCTTGGCACAAGGAGGCCAGTGCCACGTCTTGTATCATTTTACATACATGGAAATTTTCCTATACAAAGCATGACAAATTTAATTAAAATATCATGGAAAATTTTAATAAACATCTACCATCATAATTTTGGTCATATTTGTGTTGTTTTACTTACATGGCATATTTTGTTCAAACACTCCCCTCACTATGATGGCCAACTTATGCCGTTGCATTTTTTGGTTTTGATTTTACATCCTGGCATTTTATTTCTTCTAGCTTTATTCTCTCTACATTTTCTTGGCAATTTTACTATGCGTTTTTTTGGTATTTTGTAATAGAGTTGGCATTTTTTTTTGTAATTTTTGCATTTACTTTTTTGTACACAACCTGGTAATAAATGCTAGATAGGTCATTGTGGAATTTCTATTTTGGACATTTTCATAGGTTTTTTATTTCATGTGGAAAGGGAATTATGTTGGGTAGGCGGCCTAGCAAAGGGCCCGCCT